CACACACACACACACACACACACACACACACACACACACATACGTACGTACATACATACACATACACACACACATACATACAATTTAGCTGTTATTTGAAAACATGTTAAGAATCAAAAAGATGGAGAGCCCTTTTCTCCTCCTCTTCAAGATTTTTGGCTCCAGTAAGCACAATCACTTTGGAAAGCAATGATATCCAGTAGAAGGCTTTACCAAATCACAGCCTCAATATAGTTATCTGCATTGCTCAGTTTCACCGTAACGTATTTCAGATTAGCACTAGCGTCTGGTTAGCCACTATGACAGAAATGGCTGCAGTTCAGGCACCCTGCTGACGTGGTTTAGCATTTGTTGATTGAAAGCTGTAATGGAAGAAAGGCCCATTTTCGTATTTCATCAAAGAGATCTCAGGTTGTGGTCAAATTAGGAGGAATCTTGCACAGTATTACATTTGTTGTTTCCTATTGCACTTTGGTCTTTGTCTAGGGCCTACTCTGATTTGTGCTTTTGAACTATAGAAGGCAGAAGATAAGGGTGGACATGATATCCTTCCCACACATTCCAATATAAATTCTCTAGTTCAGCTCATCTTTCTGTATATTGCAGATGACACCAAACATTTATAATTAAACCTGATGGCGAATTTGGGATGAGAAAGTAAGTATTCAAATGCCTTTATTAGCAGTCACAATGTTTTCCAACAGTCCATTTCACCCCTGAAAGCATCTCTGTTTTTATCCCAAAGTTTCTCCCTGAATTGCAAGGCTGGTGGCCTCTGCACTCTAAGAGGCACAGAGAAGCAACACCAAATGGAAGAGATTGATACTGTCTCACTCTAGAAATAAATGCCCTTAAATCTAAAAGAAAATATTTGTGTAGCAAAATATAGAATAGCCATAACTATACCCATATAGAGTGAAAGACCACACCTGTCAATTGAAGGGGCGAAGATAAAGACGCAGCACCTGATCAGAAGGAAATGAGGAAATAAAAAGAAGCAATGAATTATTTCAGAAAAGTGGTTGGCATTTATCCAGAAATAGCAGCCAATCACAGAACAGGAGTTCTCAAGTTCTCTCATTTTGATTTGGGTTGAAAAAGTACAATTCAAGAGGAAAAAGGTAAGGCAAGCGAACTAACATGCTTACTGTAATTTGAAAGTGGATCATAAATCAGTTGCAGGAACCATTCATGAGGGAGATCTTCTGAACTCCAGGGAAGAGGAGATCGATCTAGTCCTGAAGAGCTTCCTTTTAGGAGGATCCAACTGGAGATACCTAGCCAAGTAAGTGTAAATTTCTTGTAAGAAGTTTAAACTCATTCAGTTCATGAGCTACTTTGACAACCAAATTTTGAGTTGCTAAACATGGTGTCTCCATAAAATGATCCAATGAGTTTCACTCATTCAACTTTCAAGATTGTTCTGGGGATACAAACGAAAGGTGGCAAGAGTTGAATATTTCTTAGTATCTAGTGAGAATTCTGTTTTCTTTTTTCCAAGCAGCTGATGTTGACAGTGATAAAATGGAGAATGAGAATGATAAGCAGCCGAGATTATTGACACTACAAAGCGCAGTGTCTGCAAAGAGCCATTCCTTCTTTTTTACTTTGCTTAAAATACTGCATAGCAAACACAAATCACATACAGTTGGAAAATATGAGAGGGATTTCAGTCTAAGCAAAAAGTTAAAATTATACATGAAGTGTGGGAAGAGCTTCAGTAACAAGACTTTACTATCATCAGAGGATCCACATAAGAAAAAAAACCATATAAATGTACAGAGTGTGGAAAGACTTACTCAGAAAGGACATTTTGTTTGTCATGAAAGGATCCACACAGGGGCTAGACCTTATAAATGCATCGAATGTGGAAAAGCCTTCAGTACAAACTGTAATCTGGCTCGCCATCAGCAGATCCACAAAAGTAAAAAAGGATATAGGTGCAAGGAGTGTGAAAAGACATTCACTGAGAGTAGTGATATTACTTCCCATCAAAGGCTACACACAGGGGACAATCCATATAATTGCCTGAAAGATGGAAAGGACTTTATTGTCAACAGAGATCTTACTCAACATCAAAGATTCCACAGAGTAGATAAACCATATAAATGCTTGGAGTGTGGAAAGAGCTTCATTCAGAAAGGAAAACTTAATTCTCATAAAAGGATCCACACAGGAGAGAGACCATATAAATGCATGGAAAGAACTTTATTGACAAATCACCCCTTATTGTCCACCAAAGGATTCACACGGGGGGGGGGGGGGAAGACCATATAAATGCATAGGGTGCAGAAAAAGTTTTCATCGGAACTCAGAATTTATTCATCATAAGAGGATCCACACTGGGGAGAAACCATATACATGTATGGAGTGTGGAAAGAGCTTTGCTCAGAAAGGATGTCTAATGTCATGAAAAGATCAACATAGCAGAGAGACCATATAAATGCACAGAGTGTGGAAAGGGCTACATTACGAGGTGAAATCTGACTTGCCATCAGAGGATCCACACTGTTAGGAATATGATTCTAATGGTTGGGTTGGCAATATATAACTCATGTAACAACGTTGTACTTGTTTCTTTAAATCATACTGTAAAATGTGATTGGTTGTAGTTTTCATCAATCGGCCATAAGAGGGAGCCAGAATTACTGTTAGTTCTCTGTTTTGTTAGATGCTGGGCTGATCTTATCTGAGTGTTTTGGAAGCTAGAAGTGCCGTGAGCTATTGTAAGTTTTGCAACTGTTAGCAAACTTTGAATACCGAACTGATTATATGATACTGGACTATGTTATTTGGATTATCCCTTTACTGAGAGACGTCGATGACTGTCTTATCTGTGTATGACTTGGACTGTTTGATGGACTCCGATACCTGATAACAATGATGATGCCAAGAAAATAGCAGATTTTCAGCAATGCAACGAACGGGTGTTGTATATTATTGGTCTAACACTGAATGACCAACAATTAATACATATTCGTGGAGAAAATTCTGCTGCAAGATGTTGGGAGAATTTGAAGAGAATTTATGTGTGTGACACTGTAGGCGCACATATACATCTTACACGCAAACTGTTTTGGGCACATCTTCTGAGAGGTGGAGATATATTAGCTCATTTAACCTTCATGAAAGGGGTTTTTCAGGAGCTACATGAAAAAACTAATTTTCTCTGAGCTACATTGAATTTGAATTGAATTGAATTTATTATATTTCTATGCCGCCTTATTCCCAGAAGGGACTCAGGGCAGCTCACAAACCAAGTCAGGGGGGTGGGGGTACAAATAGGGAAAAAAAGACATGGACGAAACAATACCACAATTAAAAACAATCAACAATCAACCACACCATTCGAGCGGGGACAAGAACTCATCAGCCCCAGGCCTGTCGGAACAGCCAGGTTTTAAGGGCTTTGCGGATATATACATCAAGTATATATCATACTCTCCTCGCTGGATGAAAGTTATGATGTTTTTGTCTCTTCTCTTGAAGTCCTAACCTGAGATGAACTAACATTGACTGGCATTACTGCACGACTGTTGGAAGAGTCAAGGAGAAGGATGGAGAGGGAACAACTGAGAGAGAAACCACCACAACATGAGGAGACGCCTTCTACTGCCTATACTGTTTGAAAATGTTATTCTTGTGGGGCTAAGGGACATACAGCTAGGTTCTCTAAAAAGGCAAAACAGCAGAATGCCGGAAGAGCTAGAAAAAATGCTAATCTCAACTTAGCTATGTCTACTTTGGCTATGTCTAGCAATGCACTAGTAAACCATGATTTGTAGGTTGTTGATAGTGGAGCATCACAGTGCATTGCTAGAGATAGAAAAAGGTTTGTAAAAATGGCCACGAGCAAGGAACATGTATTTTTGGCAAATGGATGGAAGGTGAAGACGTCTGGTGAAGGTAATGCATGTTGTTCATTCCTAAAGGAGAAGTTACCAATGTTATATGTACCTAACCTGAAATTCAATTTCCTATTGGTTAGGGCTCTGGTTAACATTGGCTATGTGGTAACCTTTAGGGGAGATATCTGTATCATTGAAAAGGAGGATAACAGGGTTACTGCTACTTTAAAAAATGGTTTATATGTTATACCGGATGGCCAGATGGCTAACACAGCTTATCATAATATTAAACCCCATGACAAATGCATACATTTACTACTATGTACATACTATGTACATAGACACATGGGGCACATTAATTTCAAGATGCTGCAACAAACTGTTAAGTTGGCAGAGGGAGTGAAAATAAAACCATGCAGTAAATATTTAAACTGCAATGTTTGCAATCAGAAGAAGAACAAGAGACTGAAACAAAGGAACCTCTGGAGGTTGTTTAAAACAAAGGAACCTTTGGAGGTTATTTTTGCTGATTTAATAGGACCTTTAAAACCCAGCTTGGGAGGTGCTTGTTATGTTTTGAGTATCATGGATCATTATTCACCATACGGTTTCTGTTACTTAATGAAAAACAACACAGAAATGCTTCAGAATTTCTTTAATTGGCTGAGGTTTGCGGAGAGAAAGATGAAAGCGAAGGTTATTACTGTAATTACTGATAATGGGACAAAGTTTACCAATTATAAATTCCAAACAATGTTAAAAACACCTGGAATCGAGCACAAAAGTTCTGCTCCTTATAGGCCACAACATAACTCGTTTGTAGAATGAAGGGGGCAAATATTACAGGCCATGGCTCGAACTATAATAGCTGAATCAGGTTTTCCGGAAACACCGTAGGGGTGAAGCTATGATGTGTAGTAACCATGTTTTAAATAATGTGAATACAACAACCAGTGAATTGCCATTTACTAGGTGGCATGGCAGAAAACCAGATTTCAGTTACCTACATACATTCGGAGCCCCAGCATGGGTGCATATACCATCACAAGGGAGACTGAAAGGGCAACATAGAGCTCGACTGTTATTTTTTGTAGATATAAGGCTAACTATAGATCATTTAGGTTTTGGGAGAAAGGCACAGCTAAGATTTACTGTAGCGCTAGTGCTAAGTTTATGGAACACGTGGGGTGGAATAAATTAGAAACATGATAATGTAATTATCGACACCCAAGTAGTCCCTAATGATGAGGTAGACAAACCAGTAATTAAAGAAATTAAGGAAGAAGTACATGACGAACCAGAAGAACAAGAGCAGGTTATAGAGGAGAGTCCACTGGTGAGTCCTGAAATACCTAGAAGGTCAACTTGTGTAACTAGACCACCTGACAGGTATCAGACGTCTATAGCATGTCAGGCAAATAAGGTTCGGCTAATTACCAAGAATTAACTCTATATCCAACTGAGGAAAGAAAGCTTGGAAAGATGCAATGGAAAAGGAATTAAAAATCATTGCAAATGTTAGAGGTGTATGAAAACGTAAAGTTACCACCAGGTAAACATACCATTGGATGTAAATGGATTTTCAAGCTTAAAAATAGTGTAGATGGGACTGTAACCCATAAAGCCAGATTAGTTGCACAAGGGTTTGCTCAGTCAGCAAATGACTATGATGAGGTCTTTGCACCTAGTTTAAAGGTTACAACGTTACTTGCAGCATTAATGTGGGCAGCTAAGAATAAATATATAGTTAATCATTTAGATGTAGAGACAGCATATCTATATGCACCGTTGCAACATACTATATATTTACAGAAGCCTGCAGGATTTAAAACTGACACTGCAGCTCTCACAAAATATAGCCATTATAAAACTGCAGGGACCCATCGAAGCAGACCAAGACCAATAAACTCAAACTCAGTCATCAGGGCTCAGGACTCAATCAAAAACATGGATTGCAAATTGAAATATAGACTAAAGCATAGTTTAATCAAAACTGTACAGTTTAAGCTGGACTTTCAACTCTGAATAATCTTCCAAAACAAACAGTGATTTTTCATTGATGCTCATGAAGATGCTTTTAACCATTCTTGTTTAGATTTTGTCCTCTTTTT